TCTGACCGTTTGCTGTCTTAGCTCAAGCTAAAAAGACTCTACCATCACAGAAACCAACATTAACACTTCCAGAGTGTCAGAAATTACAGGAAGCCCCACATAAATTGAGCAAGAGAAATTAATTTCCCTGCTTTCTAATGCGAGTGTGATTTTTAGAAATAGTGGAATAGGCTTTGTGTGTGTCACTGCCGAGCATAACAGGATATACGACACTACTTACTCATTGCATCACCCCAGAGCTATTCAGACCTCCATCGCTAATGTGTCCGTTCACACAGAGAGAGGTCAGCCAGCGCAGCTCCAATAAATGCACTAACATACTTTGGTGTGTGTGACTGTACTGATTTCCTAAATGATTTCACCTGTGTATGTTTACCTCAATGAAATGCTCAAGTATGCACTCAACCGTTCTGAAGTGCAGCCATTTCACAGCAAGACACAAGCGCTGTTCCAAAACCTAGTGAGCTGCCTTGCTGTCTGCTTCCTACATGGACAGCATCTGAAGTGGAACCGCACAAGTGACCAATTGCGTCATAAAATGATACGGCCCAGCACGTCATAGAAATGCACTTTTGATAAGCTACCTCACAATATTCTAACAAGCATAAGATTGTATACACAGATACTGGTACAATCGTTTATTTTAATTCAACTGAACAATTTGTATTGATACATTTTTGTATTGAATGAATTATATTCATAAATTACATTTCTGTTGTTTTGTCTACTAACCTGAATTATTTTTTGCCACTGCTTTTGGATCAAAAGCATGCCTATGATGCCTTAAAGCACCATATTTGCTATTAGAATAATTAACTGATTTAGTTTCATAGCAAAGTTCAACTGATTGTGCAAATGTTATGACATTTGATCCTCGTTAACATTATGTGTGAGCCAATTTGCATACTTGTACACTATTCTATTCCATTGTTTGTAGAAATAGTGCGAGTAGTGATGAAGTGTGTGTTGATGAACACTTCATGCACTCGATGGTCACAGCTTTTCTTACGCAGTGGAAGGGCTATCAGACTCCGATGCTGGATGACAAAATAACCTTATGAAATACATAAGACGGTAGAGTACATAGTGCATTGTATAAGTGCATAGTGCATCATTTGGGGCACAACTATTCCCATTACTGTCACATCAAATGACATGTAGCCTACACACAGCAGATAATAAAATCTGTCTGTTTCCACATTTGAAGAGTCAAGCGCAAACCTGCATGGTGATTTACAGCGCTGGGCCGTTGTTGCTATGGGATACAGTCCAATCACAGGATTGAGACGTCACTTCATCTGTATGTTAAAAAAACAACAACTGCAGGACTAAATTGTATGAAGTGACAAACTTCACGATCAAGGAAATCATCACAAGACTGTACGTACTATTATGACTAGTCTAGTTGAAACAATAGAACATACTGAGGCAGATATACAAAAAATATAAATTGACCGTTCGCAAAGACCCGCCATCCTTAGTTACTGTTGCTAACCCCGACAAACAATGCCGCTCTCACACTACCCTTTATGTTCTCACGCAGTAAAAAATACAATCGCAGAGCAAAGAGGAAACTGACAACACACCGATAGACAAGACAGAGGCAGGTTACTTCTGAAACAAGGTCTCCGGAATTTTAGATTTCAAATTTTGCAATAAATACAGTTTTATGGTTCTTCAATGTGTCATGACAGATCACTGTATTGCCTCAGTTCAAACACGTGAACCGATCGTCTTTTCATATACTTAAAGCACGAAATGAACATAAATAAACATCAGAAAGTATTTTATTTTTCAACCGCGGAACACACCATTTTTCAAGTTAATGTCTGCCGAAGTTAATCTACTCTCCTGTCTGATTTGTGGTTAAAGGCTAGAAGGGATACAGCTGCGGCTAATAGGCATGCGCATTTACATAATTTCCGAGCCAACAATATAACGTGAAACCTATGAAAATGGTTTTAAAAAGAACATGGCGCCATAGTTTCATCACTTTACAGTGTCACAGTGACTGTCTTTTTGCTGTAAAGGACCTTATTATTTCACACTCAGAATTTTAAGCCATGCATACAGTGCCGGACATGACAGGTTTTCTGGTACGCAAAACAAGTACTTTAAAGGAATTCCTTAGCTTATTACCATTACTGTGGCAGCCAACAACAGCACAGCTTAACCCTCCGCACATATTTATATTTAGTTATATTGAAAAAGTTTCAGTTCAGTCTATCTTTTTTACCCCGTTTTAACATGGATTTCTATGGAGACCGGCCATAGATGTTGGGCAAGATGGCGGATAGCAGCGGTGGCACATAATATCCGTGTTCTGATTGGTCAGATCGCCTGTCAATCAAGCTCTTTGCTAACGGTCAATTCCATAGTGCATAGTACTGCTCCAACAATGAAATGGTATTGAGTAAACATCATCATGTAATTGTTCTCGCAACAGAGAAGCTCAGTAACATTTGAATGGAGGGTAGCTTTTTCCAGAGAGGTCTGGCTGGTACAGGACAGGGGTCAGTCCAGGTTAAACAGGCAGATTCTGGGAAGAGCATGTGCGTCACATTCTGCAGGCTAAAAGCAGTGTGACATTATAATCTTCATTACAGTACTATTTTAGAAGAAAGCGTAAAGTTTTTGTCAGTGGAAAAATTTGAAAATGTAAAGGTTTAACATTTAAACCTATAAGTTTACATGCCAAACACAGAAGAAGTGAAAAGTGATCAAAATGCACGTTTGGTTTGGAATACATTGGGTACGATTGCAAAAGCATGTAACACAGTACAGTATGCACGGTGTGCATACTCTGCGTTTTTTTTTCTATGCACTAACGTGTAATGCAAACCACATAACGTATCCCACAATGCAATCGTATATTATTATTAATTATATTAAACAATATTTTATCATTTAGGATTTATATATTAGTGGGGAGGTATTTTGAGACCCATGAAAATACAAAATTTGAAATTGCTTATTCTTATATTACATATTGTAAAAAGGGGCATAATATGTCTTCTTTAAACATTATCTCGTTACTTGTCAGCGTTCAACAAAACATGTCATTTACAAAGAGCAGTTTTTTTTTTAATCGGAGTGCAAAAGGGACAAAAGTCACAAGCTGACAACTAATATTACAATCCACCAACCTTGACTGGGATCCAAATAGAGCTCTACTACACGACTCCATTGCCTGACTGACTTCCAAGCCTGTTCCCATGTACCAAGCAGGGCCGGCGCTACCTATAGGCAGAGCAGGCAATTGCCTAGGGCCTCGGGCTTTGGGGCGGGGCCTCCATAAGCATAACATCCCCTATACGCACCAGTCAAGACAGGCAGCAAAATACTAGCCTCATTGTTCATTGCATACGTTTGAATTGTCACTCACCTGCAATTAAACCAATTAATGTTGCCGTTTCAAAGCGGTCCCGCCTTCTGAATGTTTGCCGTAATGAGCACATCCTTCAGGTGCTGCGAAGCACAAGGCTAAATGTGCACGCAAAGAAGTACAGCTCCTAATGCAAGTGTGTGAGTTGTCGTCATCTGTTTTGAAGTGATTGCGAGGTATTCGAAATATAAACTTGTTCTCTCGATCAGCGTCATTTCTGGACAGATCATTCACCGGTTTATTACGAGTTTAAAAGAGTCATTGATGCGCCCAGATGCGACACTTTGAGTTTTGCGCGTACAGTGAATGACATCGCGTCGGGAGCTGAATAGCAAAATAGCTACAAAGGTAAAAGCAAAGTTTGTACTCATAGTCAAAAAGCAAACACATTAGAACATTTTTTAAATGTTTCAAAAAAGGACCTCAGATGTGTTTTTTCTAAATTCTGCTGATGATTACATTACTGCTCTAACATAACATTTCACTTGTTTCAACTAACTAGAAATTAACATCTTTTCTGCTTAGTAGCGATTGTTTCTTTCACTTCCACCTGATTTGTGTATATAGTGCATATTTAACAATGCAAAACATAATATCATATTATCAATATTATTAATATGACAATATCTGTAGCAAATATTGATTAACTGGGAGGGGGAAATCCCATACCCAGCTAGAAAATAAATTATAAAAGCATTGATGTTCATTTAATGAAGTGGTATTCAGGAACCGTGAATAAATTACTGAACAAATTACTACAAAATAATAATAATATCACGGCTATAATAAAATCCTCAACAAACAAAAAAGAGATTACTTTAGATAAAGTTTGATTAATGTGTACATACAGTGCTGGTCAAAAGTTTAGACACATTACTATTTTAATGTTTTTGAAAGTAGTCTCTTATGCTCATCAAGCCTGAATTTATTTGATTAAAAATCTGGAGAAAAAAAAACTAATTTTCAGCAAGGATGTTTTAAATTGATAAAAAGTGTTAGTAATGACTTGTACTGTTATAAAAGATTTCTTTTTTACTTTTTAAACAACTTTTTAATCATCAAAAAATCCTGAATAAAGTATCACATGTCAAATAAATATTAAGCAGCACAACTGTTTCTAACATTGACCATAAATCAAGGATCATGTGACACTGAAGACTGGAGGAATGATGCTGAAAATTCAGCTTTGCATCACAGGAATAAATTAGGTTTTAAAGTACAGTAAAATAGAAAACCACTGTTTTAAATTGTAAAAATATTTCACAATATTACTGTTTTTTTCTATCAAATATATGCAGGCTTGATGATAAGAGACTTCTTTCAAAAACATAAAAAATAGTAATGTGTCCGAAATTTTGACTGGTAAAAATATACCCAAAAAAATTATATAAATAAAAAGGTTATGTATCATATTTGTTTCAAGTGCTTTTTATTGGGGGTAGGGACCTCCAACATGAATTTTGCCAAGGGCCTCCAAATGTCTAGAACCGGTCCAGCCAAGCGATAAAACCTAGAATAAGCTGACGTTTAACAGGCTATTTCAAAACTTCATATCCTCACTGAAATCTCCCGCTCGTGAAATGTATTTTTCGCAGCATGTTTGCCGTTGTCTTACCGTCAGCTCGGGATTGTCGTAGTCGTGGTGAGTGACGGCTCGGATGACTCCGGCTCGCCAGGACCAGCTCGCGATGTGCGCGGGCTCCAGCGGCTCCTCTCCGCTCACGCACAGGAACCGCTTCCCGACCACCATGGCGAAAAACCCTCGAAAACTTCAACACTCGCACCCTACCGACCGCACATTTACACCGTCAAACTGCGTTCTGAACAAAAAGAAAGAAAGAACCGTGATTTTTCTCCGCCTTTTTGCGTGTCGACCGCAACCCGGGGATTTAAATTTCTCTCAGCCTCCACCCACGAATGGTTGCTCTCGCGCTCCGTGAAACTGAACACTGGACCGGATCACTGCGAACGTAAAACTGGTATCCCTCCGCCTCACAACTCACAAGTCCATGCAAAACCGCAGCAGGGAGATTTCTACGTCCGCCAGACTGATTCATGCTCAATGGGACTAGCTGCTTTCACACTATACGCCAGTGTGAGGAAAATAGTTCTTAGTTGTTGTTGTTGTTGTATTTGGTTCATTAACAGGCAGCGCAGAAATGAAGAACATAAAAACAAGCGTCATAAATAAATAAATCAATAAATTCGGTTTTATAAAACTAATTTATCTAATGACATTAATAAAATGTTCTATCTATCTATCTGTCTATCTATCATCTGTCTATTTTTGTTATATTTTATATTTATAAGACAATCAATATAATTATAAACTATATACCTAATAATTAAAATATGATTGATATAATAATAATTCTATAAAAACATTATTTTGATATTAATAATTCTAAAAAATAAAATACAAATATGCAGCATGTTATTTTTTCCATTCCGTCATACAACCATACAGATGAAAATCTTTTTACCTTTTGTGTCCAATTGTGTTTCACGCTTTTGCGAGTCTATAGCTACTCCAGCAGCTGACCTATGGGCTGTTCGTTGATGAGCACAAGAGGAGCGCTGATATATGGGGAGCATATCCACTGGATACAATCAGTCTGTGTCACCTTTAGGTCAGAGCAGAAGATGGAGACAGATATCTCATGGCTGATAGAATCACAGATCATAGAGTGTCACTGAGATGTGTCCTGCAGAAAGTAGGACGGCTAATCTGTGTCTGCCTAAAATGAACATCAATGCTTAGAACATCTTCTTGAACATCAATGATTAGAAGCAGCAGTGGAGAGAACACCACAAAATGTACACAACAGTAATACATTTTTCTTTTTCTTCACATGCAGTGTGTATGTAATATGTAATTACAATATGTACTGTGACTGTATAGCTGAATTTATTGTATAATAGGTCTACACTGTAGCAAATATTACAGATGAAGGAAAGGATAAAGTTGAAAGAAATCATTACCGTCTGCTAAGTGCCATTATATTACCTCAATATGTACTTAATACACAAAGAGAAAATGAGATGCTTAACACCTCAGAATGCTCAGATGTTTAATTACATGAAGCTGCAAGACACAGAATAGCTCTCTTATAGGAATATTCATGAATTTCAACAAGATTGTCAAGAGAGACCACAATTCACAGATGTCATCTGTTGCCGGATGTCTTCTGCTACCCAAGATGGCTATGCTTGATGTACTATTTCAATCAGTTAGAAAACATCACCACCATCCTTCCTCTGACAGAGAGAGATTGCTATCACATATTTACAACAGATATATTGTTGTAATAATAGTGCATGTATTGCTTAATATGAAAAAGGGAAATACAAATAAGGGAAATTACAGTTTCTCACAAATGTGATTCAGGAATTATTTGCATTTTCCCACTGTATTCTAAAAATAACATTTTGGTTACACTTTCCATCATATATTTAGCAGCTGTGTATTATAACATAGATCCTTGTTCAAACAGCTTAGGTCCAAGGGTCAAATCTGTCACTTTGAACTCGAATCCCTTTCTAAGAATTAAACTCTATTTAGGTGGTATTTAATGAATGAATGAATGAATGAAATAATTATGCATTTATATAGCGCTTTATTGTGTATTGTTGTATTTAAGATTCAGTTTTTTTTAAAGATTAGATAGATAGATAGATAGATAGATAGATGATAGATAGATAGATAGATAGATAGATAGATAGATAGATAGATAGATAGATAGATAGATAGATAGATAGATAGATAGATAGATGTATAGATGGATGGATGGATGGATGGATAGATAGATAGATGATAGATAGATGATAGATGGATAGATGGATGGATAGATAGATAGATAGATGGATAGATGGATGGATGGATGGATGGATGGATAGATAGATAGATAGATAGATAGATAGATAGATAGATAGATAGATAGATAGATAGATAGATAGATAGATAGATAGATAGATGGATGGATGGATGGATGGATGGATGAATGAATGATCCATTTATATGGCGCTTTATTGTGTATTGTTGTATTTAAGATTAAGTTTTTTTTAAAGATTAGATAGATAGATAGATAGATAGATAGATAGATAGATAGATAGATGATAGATGGATGGATGGATGGATGGATGGATAGATAGATAGATAGATAGATGGATGGATGGATGGATGGATGGATGGATGGATGGATGGATGGATGGATGGATGGATGGATGGATGGATGGATGGATGGATAGATAGATAGATAGATAGATAGATAGATAGATAGATAGATAGATAGATAGATAGATAGATAGATAGAAAGATAGATATTTTATTCATGATATTATTAAAATTAGTTATACGATACTGAATTTATTCATCCCTGCGCTGTTAATAAACCTCAACAGGCTTGCCTGTCTATCTATATTTATATAACATATGATAAAAATAAATAATAGTAGCCTAGAAATAACATTTTAGAAAATAAGTCTTTAATTTACGTGCTTAAAAGCTAAATCCGTTAAAATAAATGTCAAACGACCACAACATTCCCCCAGTTTTTTGTTTTGTTTTGTTTTTTGCAACACGAACACAACAGCGCCAACAAGATCATCGATTAGGAGTTTTTATTTTCAACGTTTTTATGTTTGATTGGTCTGTATCTCTTCAAGGTGACTCTCAACGAATCAGCATCGAATGCGTTGAGAGTGTAACGTTTGCGTCTTCGAAACAACGTCACTTGACAAACATTTGATCTAGCCAACCAATGTTCGAGTTTCATGTAAACAAATCATATTAGCCAATCACGTAACAGGAAAAGCGGGCCTTTAAATCAAATTATTTCTGACGTCAACGTGAAAGCGCACCTTTTACAGAAACGGCATCGGTTTGGGCGAGAGCACGAAGAAGATGGGCACAACAAGTGTGTCGTTATTTTAACTCATATTAACGCCATAGTTAGTTTTATACGGGATGTTTGTGTGTAATACTGAGTAATGAGCGAGCGGAGGCTCTCAGGAGACCGTTAATGTTTACCTCGTCTGAAGTTGAACACTGAAGTTGAAGTAAGGTTAGCTTAGCTAGCATCTCTCTGTGCTCGGCTCAATCCTGAAGAAAATATGGTGTCCTGGATTATATCAAGATCTGTCGTGTGAGTTTAAAACTCATTTTTTTCTCATAAACATAGTTAATTTTTGAGGCTTGGGTTAAATTAGCGCTTTATTTAGCTGGTTAGCCTATTAGCATCAATATACTGAAGACAGCACACATTGCACAATTGAGAAAGTAGATTTATGATCTTCTCAACCCCATATCTGCTCAGATTGTTCAATCAAAGTGCTTTACTGTTTTTAAACATGACGTTTGGGAAGGATCCATGTTATTTGGACGATAAGAACCAGAAACAGCAAGCCATTGTTATTATGTGCAGTTTCCCGTTTGCCATCACGATTGGACTGCAGTATCAGAGGTTTTTGTGTCAGTAGTGAAATTATTATGACAGGGGACGAGTCAATTAATATTTTTGTGTTGACTCATTGTACAAGGTTTTGTTGGGGCTTTTGGGTAAGGTGGAGCTGTCATAAGTTTCTGACTTGTGAAAGCGAAACTACTTTGTTTGGTCTTCCAAAAGAGGACGATATCGCTTCGTCATGTCTAGAGCTGATCCGTGCTGGTCGTTGAGGAAATACAACAACTTTGCGCTGTGGATCGCCGGATCGGCTTTCACCGTGGACGAAGCGGAGTCCAGCCCGGGATCGTCACATGTGGTTGTCATGCCGCCAGGCGTCACTCACTCAAGCAGCTGTGTGTTTCGTTGTGAAAGCAAAACTACTTTGTTTTGCCTAATGTTTCTAAAAGTTTCTATAGAGGACATAATGTTTCTATAAAGTGGGGCAGTTCCAACTTTGCAAGGACAGTCTGGCGCTTCTGACTCACAGCCTGTAAGTAAGTTTTTTTTATATATCTAAAGAATTTGCCACTGATGATTCAAACGCGAGTTTTGAGCAGTGTAGAGTAGCGCTTATTGTTTGTAATTTCTCCGATCACAAATGCAGACATGGTTTTATGTTTACGCAGCGCAATATGCAACACAAAGCGTAAAAACACAGTATAAGTCATTATAATCCATAATTATGTCCCCACTGGATGCAACAAATGCCTAGTTTGTAATGGGTTTTATTGGTTTTGTCTCGTCGCGCTGGACACATGGAAACCATAGACTATATGATGGAAACGCAGTATGGTAAGGGGCGTAACATTTCTGTCACACGCTTGAGGTATTCGGCCAATCACAACGCACTGGATAGCTGGCCAATCAGAGCACACCTCGCTTTTCAGACCGATGAGCTTTGTAAAAAATCGTCACGTTTCAGAAAGGTGGGCATAGAGGAGCAACAATAATGTACAGTATGTGGAAAATTAGTTTTTTGAACCTTAAACCACATGAACACATTGCATTACACCAAATACACAAAATAATGTTCTTTTTAGCAACATCATATGACCCCTTTAAAGCTCTGAACTTTTCTTCTCCCTTATGTTAACGTACAGACCTGAACCCATACAGAAAGAAAGATTTTCCCCCAGTGAATCGAAAACAATGTCTGTCTAACCTCAAACTTTTTTCAACATTAGATATATCTAGGGTTGCAAAGGGGTGGAACATTTCCGGAAACTTTCCAAAATATTAAATAAAAAATATTAATATATATTATATTAAAAAATATTAATATTAAAAA